GACATGCTCTTGTTCTGTAATGTCGTTTGACCATCTATACAAATGGCCGCTCTTGTCTATGCTCATAGAAAATTTTTGACTTGCTTGCATTATTTTTTAGAGATATTTAGTCTCATGATTGATATAGATACTTAAATTTTCCAACCAATTGTCCGAACGTATTCGAATATGAATATTTAATACCGGGATCTAGATACTCAAATGTAGATATATATTGATATCAACATTGATATCTACTCATATCATATCTGAAGTATCATTCGAGGAATTTTGTGGTTATATGTATTCGTATTTGAAAGTATTTGTGTTAAGTCACAAAGTTTCTGAGGAACAGGTATGTGAGACGTGGATCTGACAATTTTATAAGTTCCCAGTTTGTTAGGATATCTCTTTAGGACGATTTGTTTGAGAAAGAGAACATGATCCATGAATAATTAAGATGACGTACTCCCTCCATATTGCAATTAGAAGTCATTTAGGACAGGATTACGCTTACCAAGGTGTGCCAGGGAGTGATTAATTAGAGGGTATTTTTCCATGTTTGTCCTTATTAAATAGGTCCGCGGTTGCATTCTTTACAAAAGCGATGCGTAGCCTGAGTGGCTTGTCTTGCGCGGCCCGATGCAGGAGATCGCCGGTTCGAGTCCTCGCACCCACGATAATATTTTTGTTGCCTGTAGTGCATTTTTGCATGCAGGGCTCGTTCGCACGCGTTGGTCGCATGCTGGGCTCGTCCTTGCGCCCGTGTGCACGCTTGCGCTCGCGTGCTGGCTCGCTGCTTGCGCTCGCGTTTAGGCGTTGCTGCGTGAATTTTTTCTGATGTCGCGTTTAGGCTTTTCGCTCGCTCGTTTGCGCGCGTTTGCTCGAATTTTCGTTCGTTTGGCGCTCCGCTCAGTACCTCCGACGATTCGCCTTGCCTGCAGTATTAAAACGCCTTGCCTGCGGTACTACTGCCTTGCTTGTTCTTCACTTGCTTGTTCATCTAGCCATGGCTTAGCCTCTTCTCTTTCTTCCTACTCCTTCCACTGCATAGCAAACCGTACGGCGCAATGGCTCGTGTACTCCATGGCTTCGATCTGAACGTTCGTATGGAGGAAGATGGCGACATCAATCTCCCCTTCAATTTCAACGAACCTATACTGGAGGACCACAACAACAATGGTAACGTGCGGATTCTTACTCATTTTTTCTTCCCTGTTTTGATATTCACAGCATCCGTGTACAAAATCTTGCTGGTAACTTTTTTTTGTCACAATCACATTCATTTTAGTTTGTATTTTTATCCTACAGGTAGAACGCCATGTCTAGGTACTCCATGGAAGTGTTTGTTTTTCCCTATAATTAGAACATGCCATGAATAAGTATCCCATGAATGTGTTTGTTTTTTTTCCCTATAATTAGAAACATGTCGTGAATAAGTATTGCATGAATGAGTATAAATAGAACATGCCGTGCTTCTTTTTTGCATATGAAGCTAGAACATGCCGTGACTAATTATAACTATGCACGTGATTCTTTTTTCTTGTAACAGAACATGCTGTCCAGAACCCCAACGTGGAAGAACAAGTTCATGGAGTACCCCACCGAAGGAAAGAAATGACAGAAGATCTCCGAAAACGAGTTTATCAAACTTTGTTGGGTAGAAGCAACGATGGTATACTACACAAGAAAGATACTGCATATGTTGCTGCTCAATTTGACCTTCACATTCGGACAGTTCAGCGTGTTTGGAACCGAGATAAAACACAACTTAGAAACTCTATTCCGGTTGTGGTTGATAGTCTAAAGAAGGGTAGAGTTGGCCGTAAAGCAATCCCTGTTGACTTAGAAGCATTGAGAAACATTCCTCTAAAGGAAAGAATGACTATAGAGGATGTGTGCACAAACTAAACTTGAGCAAATGGAGGATTCAAAGGTATTTGAAAAAAGGACTGATTAGGCGCCACTCTAGTGGCATCAAACCATATCTCACTCAAGCTAACAAGAGGTCTAGGTTACAGTGGTGTGTTGACATGGTTAATAGGGAATTGCTTGATGATCTAAGGTTCAAGGAGTTGTTTGACTTTGTGTTCATTGATGAGAAATGGTTTTACCTATCTAAAAAATCTGAAAATTATTATTTGCTACCCGAAGAAGATGATCCCCATTGGACTTGTAAGAATATGAACTATATCCCTAGGCTCATGTTCTTGTGTGTTTGCGCTCGCCCAAGGTTTATGAATGGGAATTGTATTTTTTATGGTAGGATTGGTTGTTTTCCACTTGTTCATTATGAACCGGCTCAAAGAGGTAATGAGAGAACCGGTTGTGTCCGTGGAGACTTGGTTATGAAGCCCATTACTTCGATCACTAGAGAAGTGAATAGAGATTTTATGATCAACCAAGTGTTGCCTGCCATTCGAGCTAAGTGGGCAAGAGAAGATGTGGGCAAACCCATCTTCATTCAATAGGACAATGCACCTTCCCACTTGAAATTGGATGATCCGGATTTTTGTGAGGCCGCTAAGCTAGGAGGATTTGATATTCGCCTAATATGTCAACCACCAAACTCTCCGGATTTCAACATTCTTGACTTGGGTTTTTTTCGAGCTATACAAGCAATTCAATATAAGAAGAATGCAAAAACAATAGAGGCTCTAGTTCCAGCCGTGCAAGAGGTAATTTGCTCAAATTGTTCACACATGTTTCAATGTTTTCTTCCACAACAAATTTGCTCATTCATTCATTTCTTGCACACTTGTTTTGTAGGCATTCATGGAGTACTCGACACGCAAAGCAAACCGAATATTTCTAACACTACAAGGTGTTTTGATGGAAGCTATGAAGAAGAAAGGTTGCAACGACTTCAAGATACCTCACATGAAAAAACAAACATTGGAAAGACAAGATCGGCTGCCATCTTGTATCCCTTGTGATCCATCATTGCTACATGAAGCCGAGGCTACTCTTGCTGCATGAAACGATTAGATAGATGCTTGTTAGCTTAAGTAGTAGAGGCAATCTTGTAACAACTTAATTATAACTTGAGCTAGGTATCTTACCGACGCCTTGTTATCATCCTTCCTAGCAGCGAGCTCGTCGAGCTTCTTGACAACGTGAGGAGGTAACACGATACCATTGCCTTCCATCACGAGCTCATCAAGATCAGGAATGAAAAGCTTGCAATCGAACTCGCGCTGGCTGTAAAGCATGGCACCGCCCATGTATTTGTTGTGGACGAGCCCGCAACGAGAGCATGGCCAGAACCGTGAGTGCGCACGATTCCACGCTTGGCGGTCCTCATGGACGAGACCGCAGCGACCGCAAACAAAAGCTCCCGGCGGCAAGGAATCCGGCACCATCTCCATGGAGTCCTGTGCGACCACGGAGCCCAGTCCCTCGACGGACAGCGGCGGGTCGACGGAGTCCAGTGCCTCGACGACGTCCTCCGCGGCGACCTTCTCTGAGTCCGGCCCGACGTCGCCCACGGCGACCTCCTCCGAGTCAGCAGCGACCTCCATCTTGGAATCCGGCGAGATGGAGTCCAGCACCAACTCCATCTCCGACTCCAGCGAGAGCTCCAGCTTCGCCGATGTGACGACCTTTGCTGCCTCCTGCGACTTCGACGTGATGGAGTCCGGCACCATCGTCTCCATCTCCGAGGACAGCGAGGCATCCATCGACGCGGCGTGCACGAACGGCGTGCGACGTGAGGTGGAGATGGTGTGCGGTGGCGGCAGCCGCGCTTGTTCTTAGTGGCGTGCGGCTTGACGACGCGATTAAATTAAAGGGCCGTCGCATGCGGTGCCCATTAACACGGCGTCAGAAACGAAGAGATGGATTAACTCGCGCGGCGCGCTGGAGCCGAGGCGAGAGGGGCAGCGTCGTCCAAAGTTAACGTCGAGAGGCAGAACGACTTCTATTGCTTCGGATCGGTCCTTTCCCAGAACGACTCCTAATACCGATATGGAGGGAGTATATAGAACGTAGCTACTGAACAAGAATGATCCTAGGATAATCAGGACAATTGCTTATTACAATATTAGTTTACTCTGCTATTGTAAATCAGGACTTAAGCTTGAGTTTTTTTTTTTGGTGCCTTTTTCTCCCTGCAGGGTCTGGGCTCGGTTTCATTGTAGCCTGCAACGTCTGGGCTCAGGTCCCCAAGAGTCGAACTGGCTCGGATGAAACGCACCCGCCGCGCATCGTCGGCTTCAGCGTCGTGCCGTCACCCAACTCCAGCTCCACCTCCAGGCTTCCAGCGCCGCGTCGCTGCGTAGCTCCAGCTCCAGCGCCGCGCTACCGCTCAGCAGCTTCGCTGAGCGGCCGCAGTCCGCAGCTTCGCTGCATCACCGGTTGCTGCCGCCGCCGTTCATCCCATCGATCCGGTGTGCTTTGGGACGTCGTCCCAACTCACGTCCCAAGCATCGACCTGGCGTCCGTACCGCAGCGATCCCGACCCGCGATCCGGAACGACCGTCCCGGCCTCCCAGGAACGCCAAAGGCCGCTGCGACCCGCGCCCCGTGTGCCTGCCCCACCGCCGATCACGGCCACATCTAGAGTCCCAAGCAAGCCATTCCTACGACCGCGGTCCGCTGCTTCCCCTTCCAAGCTCCGCATCCGTTGAGGTCAAGCCCTCGTCCACGGTTCCACCTCCGCGGCTCCGTGCAAGGCCAGATTCTGCCCGTCCCCAAACACCGTCCACGGCTCCACGGCATCCTGGGTCTGGCCTCCCGGGGCGCTGCCGCGTGAACGAGGGAGGACCGCCCGGACGGCTGGACGTGTGCGGCGATCGGCGAGCTACACGGCGGCCACACCACGATACCCATCTTACTTCCACCGGGGCCCCACACACCAGAGAGCGTGCTCGCCACGTTGGACGCTGGAACGTCGTTCCCGTTGTGCCAGCGGCCTATTTAAACAGCTGGCACTGGCGGCACAGGGATAACCGCCGCAGCAACGCCACCCTGCCTCCATTGCTCTCTCGCTGGAGCCCTCCGCCCCCTCCCACCACCGCGCCATGGACAAAGGCAAGAGCACCGCTGCTACTAGCTCTGAAGCCATGTGGGTGTCGGCCAAGGAGCTCTTCGGCATCGAGTCGTCAGACAGCGACGAGGATCGGCGCTCGGCGACGTCGTCGAAGGGCCCCGCCCCCGCGAGCGGCGTGGACGAGGGCGCCAGCTCCTCGGCAACCGGCGCCGTTGGCGCGTCGTCAAGCAGCGCGCCCGCGCAGACGCAGGATGTCGCGCCCTTCGAAGACGGGCAGTACGTGCGCCTCCGCAACCGCGGCCGCGGCGGGTACCTCTTCGCCAACGAGGACGGGCGGGGCGTCTCCATCGACCACCGCCGCCACATGGTCAACACGGCGTGGGCCGTGCAGGTCCTCAGCGCGCGCGTCCTCCTCCGCGGCGCCTACGGCCGGTACCTCTCCGCCACGCGCAGCGCAGCGCGATCCGGCCACATCGGCGGCTACGTCGCGCAGTGCATCCTCGAGTTTCCGGACGACCACCACATCGAATGGTCGGTCACTAGGGGGAAGCGCGGCAGCGTCGTGCTCCTCCGCGCCACGGACGGTGGCCCGTGTAAGCTCCGGGCGAACGGGCGGTACCTGCGGTGGAACAAGGGCGTCACCTACGGGTGCGTCGACTTAGTCCGTGTTGGGACTGCTCTCCTCCATCTTTTTAGCTCTGCTCCTAAATTTTTCTGTCAAACATGTCCAACTCCATAAACTCTGCTCCCAAAAAAAGATGGAGTTTTGGTCCAACTCTATGTTTTTCGCGGAGCTTCTCAGAGAGTACTCCACAAACCAGCGTTTCGTATGTCCTCGTGGAGTTGAAGGTAATTACCCGCAATTGCCACTCGTTACGCAGATAACGTTTCGTTCTATTTCCTCCCGTCGCCCCCCAACTGCTTCTTTCCCCTTTCGTTCCGGCAGCGCATACGGGTCAACGAATCCGGCGTTGCTAGCGGAACGCAACCGGTGCCCCTCCCGCTGGAGCTCGTCGGAGGTCACCGGGCCCGCGCTCCCCGCCCGTCCGCTCTGGTCCGAGCTCCTCCCGCCTCCGTGGCTGCGCCGCCCACCGCGTGACCCCCGTTCCCCGCCCCCGCGGCCCCGCAGTGGCGGCTGGATGCTGGCCCGGCGCTCGGCCTGACCTACGCGCATGGCGGCCCCCAGCGGCGGCGGCCTCCACATCGCCATGGTGGCCTGGGTGGTGGCGGTGTCGCGGGTGGATACGGACGGCCCCCCGGAGGAGGAGGCGGACGGCCACCTGGAGGCGCAACCACCCTGGAACTCGTCAACGCCACCCCCACCTCGCTCGACTGCCACCCACCCAGGCGCTACCCCTTATGGCCGCACCCCCGACGGCGCTAGCCCAACTGCATCCGGCATCTCAGACGGGGCATCCGACGTGAAGGACCTGGATCTTCCTGTAGATGGGGTTTGAGCAGGGGAGGAGATTTGCAGAGGTCTAGCTCTACTGACTCGCACAGCAGGCCTTTCTCGGCTAGCCTGATGTGGCAACGCTGATTGAACAGGCTCACCCACAAGTCTTGTAGCTGGATCGCTTCTTCGCCCATGAAACTGGTGTCTTTCTCCGGCTGATCTTCTTTTTCTCTCTGTGTACGAGCACTACATTGACCTGATATGTAGGAACAGACCTTCACCCAGTCCTACTAGATTTGTTGGAACAGACCATCAACGAACATGTCAGCAGCCTGAAAAATGGATGCCTTGAGCTCCTCGTACTTGTGTACTTCAATTTGATTTGTCATGAATGAATGGAGAAACTGAACTGATGCTCTAGATTCGTACATGAATTCCTCAACAATGACCTGACTTGTATTGCTGGATCACATGATTTGTACTGAAGAAGGTGCCGATAAGAGTACCGAATCCAAGTTTTAGAAATTGCTGGCAAAAACAATTACACAGTGGACTTCACATGGTAGAAGTGTACTTCAGAAAAATGATAGTGGCTACACAGAGTCTCATAATTTGCATTTCATTAGTGCTCAATCAGTTTCTGAATGATTTCAGTTTTTAATTTCGGTAGCAAATTTCAGTATGTAATTTTAGTTTTAAATTTCAGTTAGCATTTTCAGTTTTAATTTCATTTTTTAATCTGAACTAGTATTCAGTTTTTAATTACAGTTACTATTTATGTATGGACAATTATTTGTATCCGAAATATGAACTTTATCAATTATCCATCAAGCGCTTTGAAATTTACGTGACAAAAGTATAGAATTATTTGACCGAAATATTTGTTTTTTACTTTTCTCCAATAAATTAAATGAGATTATAATATTTACACCATATTTGAATTGGTAAAAAAAAAATTCAATTACACATGCTCTGCATACAACAGAACGTACATCAAACATCGATCAGGGGCATAGTAGATCTTTCCTATAGAAACCTCATGTTTCCAGAGCTGGAGCTAAATTGCGTGCCAAATAGGTCCACTTGCTCTAGAAACTCCACAGTGAAGCTGCTCTGTGGTAGAGTTGATAGAGCAGAGCTGAAAAAGATGGAGCAGAGTAGTCCCAAACAGGCTCTTAGGGGGTGTTTGGCATGGCTCTGGAGCTGAACTCCAGCAACTCCAGCCAATTTTCCAGCCAAACACCCCAACTCCAAAACTCCATGGAGCTGCCAACTCCATGGAGCTGTAGTGCAAATGGAGGTGGAGTTTTGGAGCACCTCTTTTGCAGCTCCGACTCCACCTAGAGCTCCGACTCCATCTAGAGCTGGCTCCACCTGGAGTTCTGGAGTGGAGCAGCTCCACCTAGAGTTGGAGCCATGCCAAACAGGGCCTTAAACAGCATCAGCTCCATGCTGGAGTGGGAGGTCCAGGTCATCCCCCTGACGGCAGACAGGCCACCGTACCAGCCGCGGCCACCAAACGCTGCAATCGTAAGCTCACAGCCCGCCTCCTTTTTTGCACAGTTCTTTGTTGCTTCTGCAAATTGGGTCCGGTTGGGACTTGGGACTTGGGACATGGGAACGATTAAACATTGGTATATCGCCTGTCTCGTGAACTCTTGTTGCGGTCACTTAGCTGATTCTTCCACAATGCTGTTTCGTGAACTCTTGTTGCGGATTTCCTTGGTGCCTGTTTCCAAAATTTTGCAATTTTTTTTAAGATTTCTCGTCACATCGAATCTTTGGACGCATACATGAAGCATTAAATATAAATAAAAAATAAAACTAATTACATAGTTTAGACGAAATTCACGAGACGAATCTTTTAAGCCTAATTAGACTATGATTGAACACTAATTGTCAAATAACAATAAAAGTGCTACAGTACCATTTCTCAAAAAATTTCGCTAACTAAACAACCTGTCGAAGTTATTGCTTGGGCCTTCTTTTGTAGTTCTGCAAACAAACCGCTGCCTGTTGTGCTCAATTCTTGCACGATTTGATAGTTCCCTGTTGTACTTGCTGAATCTTTCAGTGCATTTCTGCAGATCAACTCTCTGACATACTATTATGTTCTCCTGAGCTCCAGATTCTTTCTTATTTGAGATCATTGCTTAATGTCTGGTTGATTGTTGAAATGTTTGCTGACGAATCATTGCTTAATGTCTGGTTGATTGTTGAAATGTTTGCTGACGAAACTAGTCATGTTTCTGGGGACTGCTATTCGTGCCATCTATGCCAAATTACTACACTACTCTGCTTGAGTTGTTTTTTCTATTCGTCTGTGTCACCTGCATCTTGCAATTTCATTGAAACAGCGATGGCCCGAAGGCTGCCTGGAGTTGGTCACTATCATTTTCAGTCATGCTTGGTTTGGTGATAATGGACGCATCGAACACGGGCAATGGACACATCTGCGGTTCGATGGGAGAAGTCTGACTGAGCTGGGAAATGAGATAGCAAATCGATTGGGTGTCCAGTTCGAGAACATGACTCTGTGTGTTCAGGCAGGCGACCTTGGCCGGCCCGTCCCTCTCCTCACCGACCTGCCTTTAAGAGATGATCCCACCATCATCCTGGCGTTCATGGTCGATTCACCAGGTGAGAACCATATAGATGCTCTGATGATAGAACTCAGATTTGGAAAGTTCAGTGAAACGTATGATGCATATAAAGGGATAGAGAAACTTAATACAATTTGAGCTCTGTATTACGATCTCTACATACGGACATAATGGTATAAGTATGTTTTGAATCAAATTAAGTGGTTGGCCACACTATTTTGGATTTGCTTCTCAAGGCATTTTATTGGCTATCCATCTATGGTAATTATTCCTGAAAATTGATCCACTGGATAGTATCAGTGAGCAGCAAATGATAAGTATTCCAGATTCCCATCTATGACTTTGATAGTTTTGCTGGAGTTCAGTCGAAAGTGCTATTCATAGTTTAAGGTGTATTGACAGTCAAAGGTAAGGTGTATTCGTAGTTTGATACAGGTCGATATGAAGTGTTAATACTATTAAAACCAATGGTCATGCTAAAAACGATGCCCGATTTTAAGTGGGTTAACCAAGCTTCTTACCTAAAATGTTCTGGTAGAAGCCATTTCACAATATAAACTGTTGCTTTTCATGAGGAATGATGATCTGTTCAAGTTAGAGAATCTTAGAACACTAACATACTTCTGAAATGTGAAATAGGATACATTGGTGCAAACTCCGTTCTCTCAGTTTCCCGTGTTATCAGTGTACATGATCTACTAATTATCCTTTCAATTGACCTCTCACATCTGTGACTCCACTCCAGGGTACAATGCGCTCCGGTTTCCAGATCTTGCTGCTGAATAAAAGGGAAGGATAGGATCAAACAACAATTCTGCACCCGGACAGAAACGTCAATACACTCTACAGGTTTACAGCAAATCGAACAGTTCAGAGAACGCCTGCTGTTTCTGCTAAAGCCGTCAGTTCTGTTCCAAAACGGTTACATTGATGTACTCTGTGTGGACATTTCCCTCTTCAAACACTAGGAGATGGTGTCTTTTGTTGCCCTATCTTAAATTTCACAGCCACACGGTTAAATTTCAAAAGACATGCAAATTGAGTGTCAAATCTGGAGAGGCGCACGTATTGAGGGTCAAATATTGACATTATGGTCACTGATTGCATTATCTGCTGATGTTTTCTTAACTAGGTTTGAATGTTTGATGCCTTCTGAGACTAACAAAGTCTGTTAAACAATGCCAAAATAATTGTCACCACAGAGGGATCAGTGGAGTTTAGTTTAATAACAGTAGCGGTTAAAAGGTCAACCTGGTATAAATTTCCCTTTAATTAATACCTGCTTTTTGAGTGATACAAGTCCGTAGCCTGCATATACATGCAACTGCTTCATGTTCAGTTTGTTCCGTTGGGGCTTATACCATAACAGAAAGAGAGAGAAAACGCCTGCAAAACTGCTCAAGGGAACACGGAAGTAACTGTCTATCTGAAGCGTAGAAAACAAATCAATCAAATATAGACGCGGTTCAACTGTTCAGGAAGCCCAAACGGAAGTGCGAGCGTCCATATAAATCTCTTCTCACCACCTACGACGGTATTAAGACGTGTTGTATTAAAGTTTTTTCCATCTTAATATCAAGACACACAGACCTTTTGCGTGATTAAGGGAAAAAAAACTGTTCAGGAAGCCGTTGTCATGGTTTTGCCGCTAGACACCTGCACAAATCCCCCAAAAGGCCATCTTCCGCCCGAGTCCCGCAGGCCACCGTCCTGAATCCAACACCCGCACGCGCCAGCAGTCCAGCACCAGCAGGCTACAGCCAAGGGCCAGCCCCGTTCGTTGCGCAGCCAAATCGAGATCTCCATCTCCCCCGTGCCGAACCCCACCTCTCCGGAACGAGATGGCGTCGGCGCTGTCCTCCCTGCGCTACGGCGACAGCCTCTCGGTGGTGGGCATCTCCGCCGCGACGGCCGTGCTCTGCGAGGCCATCTCGTGGCTCCTCATCTACCGCACCGCCACCTACAACTCCCTCCGCGCCTCCATCGAGCGCCACTCCCGCAAGCTCGACGCCATGAAGTCCGGCTTCAGCTCCTCCGCCTCCTCCGGCGCCGCCGCCGCCTCTGCGCAGCCCGCCTCGTCGCGGGCCAAGAAGATGGACCGCGTCGAGACCAGCCTCAAGGACGCCGCGCGGGAGCTCTCGCTCGCCAAGCTCAAGTCGGGCGTCGTCGTCGCCGCCGTGCTCTTCGTCGTCTTCGGCCTGCTCAACTCCCTCTTCGAGGGCCGCACCGTCGCCAAGCTGCCCTTCGCGCCCATCCCGCTCGTCCAGCGGATGAGCCACCGCGGACTGCCCGGGAACGATCCCACCGACTGCTCCATGGTCTTCCTCTACTTCCTCTGCTCCATGAGCATCCGAACCAACCTCCAGAAACTGCTTGGCTTCGCCCCGCCACGCGCGGCTGCTGCGGCCGGCGGGGGCCTCTTCCCCATGCCCGATCCGAAAGTTAACTGAGGTACTAGATCGATCTCTCTGCTTCAATTTTGGTTGGTACCCTTGATTGATTGAAGATTGTGCTAAACTTGAGTGTACAAGTTACAAAGGTCATCAGATCATGATCCTTGGTCCTGTTGAAAATTGCTTGCTGGATCTACTAGTTAACAAAGCTACAAACGGGAGTATGGTGTTTGTTAGATTAGATCAGACCTTTTGGATGCATGTGAGTGTTATAAGTGATTGGTGGTTTCAGATGGATTGAGTTGATTTTTGTTAGTGTGACCCATTCCTACGGTTTAGCATGTCGCATGGCAATCCTTATATGCACATAAGAGTAGTCCCATGTATCCATGGCACTAATCACTTTGGTCTCCATCTGCGTTCTGTGTCCCTCTCAATAACACAAACTGATAGCGTATTCAGACACCCCTGGACACAAGGTGGTCCACTTCTGGGTATTGTGCTTACATTTGGAGAGAATCTCTAGTGTCTTGGTCATTTAGATGGTAGATAACTGTTTTCACCATTGACCCTGAATGCAGTGGCCAGTGGGGTTGCTAAGTTCGCAGAGTTTACGATTCACCTAAATTGCTCATCCATCCATATGTGCAGGATCTCTTCCTGTTTTCTTGTATGTTAGTTAAGTAATGTGCATGGCAATCCCTGCACCTTGTAATGCCTATTTATAGGCCTGTGTAGATTGAATACAACTATACAAGTGTGTGTGCATTGCTATCTTACACTTTTAGTACGCTGTTGGCCTGAAACTAGTGTTAATAAAGGTTGTGTCCTTAGTTATGCTACAGGATAAAAAACGGAAGACTTCTCACTATTGATGACAAAATCCTTAGCACTAACTCGGACTCTGATCTTCTTTGGACTTGAGAAGTGTCTCTGATGCATTGAAGTATGCAGACACTTCGAATGGCTATATAAATCTCGGTATTTCAGCAGTTTAAATGATTTCTATGTTCGATTTGTGAGAGCAGGAATCACGTTTACAGTTTTGCAAAATTTTCACCCAAGGATCTGGAGCCATAATCTGAACTTTTGCTGTCATGATATGGCCTTATAGCTGAATTGCAATGGATAAATTCATAAATAAAATCTGGATTCCAAAAAAAAGGTGTGCAGACATTGGCACGCATGCCCGTGCCAGTTTATAACCCTCAGCTATTTGTATATAGAACACTTTTAGATAGGTGCAGTACAGCTAAGTTTTGCTTAGAATCGAAGATATATGGCAATGTGTTACACGGCAGTATGGAACCACCAAGTAAGGACTAGGATCAATTACTGGACATACACCACTTTTGTTTCACTCGAATTTTAACTCACTAGACATTTTCCAAATTATAGAGACATTGTTTTCTTGTCTAGACATAATGTATATCTAAGTGCATGGCAGGAACTATGTATCTAGCAAAGCTAAAACACCTTATAATTTGGAATGGAGGGAGTAGCACTCAAATTTGAAAATGGTTGAGGTTCTGTATCTCAGTTAACACCGTGAAAACTGTGAAACTGACTGTTCCCAGCATAGTTGTGAACACTAGTGTCTCTAGAACAACTTTGACTCTTTGAGTAATTGATAGTTAAAATTTAAAAGGTGTGGAAGCAGGCTCCATTATATTCAGTGTGTTTCAAGGTGCAAAAGAGAACCAGATTTCCACATTCCAGCATAATGCCGTTGTTGATGATTTGGTGTATCAGTGATTAGGTTTGAATTGTTGTTGGATCATGGGCTTAGGGATTAAGGACTTTTGAATATTTTTTGATTCAGCTGTTTATAAGTTCTGGGTGGTTGGCCTTGACAATTTTGAATGTCAAATTTATAGTAGTTCTGAATTTAGCCAAGGCTCTATGTAGTATTTGTTCCTGTTAGTCTGCTCCTGTGGATATTTCTTTATTATTAGTTCTGATATTCAAGTAATGCGTAGTCAAGATTTAAAAGATTCTGGATCCTGGGCATGTATTTTCAGGACTACTTTTATTTCATCTGAGCTTTAAACATGAATTTGTAATTTGTATATTTACAAAGGTATCTATAGCAAGATAGCCCAATAGACTGAACATGTGTAACCTTTCCTGAGAGTTTGCTAGCAAGCAAAGTTGTAGCTAGTGATTCAGTCTAAATACCTTTCAAGCGCTTAAATGGCGAAGTATTTCTGAACTACAGATAGTTGATGAATAATATTTTCCTTGTTGAGTCAAGAATTCATGTCAGAATCATATTATTTAAGGTTGGGGTCCTGGCATGGCATTCCTGGTCAACCCTTTTCAGTTTCAGACATCCCTTCTAGTTTTTGTTTTTTCAATTTTCTTTTGGTCTGTTGCTCATTCTAGTATGCCATGATTAGTCTCAAAACTACAGAGAATGAACGAATGTAGCCTCCACTTTGTGAAGCAGCTATTCTATTATTAGTCATGTGCATTAAAATGTATATCTAAACTTCACCTAAGCACCGCAAGTGGGGCTTTAGCAGCAATTCAGAAAATGCATTGCGACAACAGAAAATGCTCATATATTGCTGTTTATTCTTATGCACAATAATTTGTATTTTCATTTTATTTATTGCTCACTATCTGATCTGCCAACTGTTTTCTTCCGCTGTGTTTATCACCACAGGCTCATCAACAAGACTAGTGAATCCAAACCAAGAAATAGCATAGTCGACTGGGAAGAAGGTGTTGTACACTATTTATGACTGTATCAATATTCGTACCCAATTCATTTTCCACAACTCTCCGGTATGCTGTTGCACGGTGATTGCAAACCTGAAGGTTGGCTTATTTATTGCATAGACTGAACAAATGAACATGAATTACCTGCTGGGAGGCAGAGAAATGTGCAGCCTGATTTTCGGCCTCTATACGATTCTCCGCTTTTATACTAGGATTGATGATGTCGACGATCTCTTGATTGTATGCGCGTCTGATACCATTTGATTTTAGCATCATTGGCATAATGTCTCATATTTGTATGTTTTTTATGTGTGAATATCTGCCTATAGTCATCTGTCAGGCAGCTTGGCATGTGCAAGTTCGTGGGCTCCATCCGGTGAACTCCGTTGCTGAACTTGGAATACAACCGATCTGCCGCCTGCCACTTTTACCTCATCTACCTCGTCTGAGTTTCAATAAGTGATAAAAGGCGGTTTTGTCACCAGATTACCGATGTACCGCGTCATTTGTAACCGTACAATCCTCCTCTTAAGTTGTACATCCCATATTCCTAAATTTGTAAAACAGCAGTACACCCCATATCCCTAAATTTGAATCATGGTGTAGCAAAGTATATTTTTGGAGGTGTACCATTTAACAAGTTTAGAACTTACAAATACGTTTTTTAAGTTCATGGATCGAAGTGACGCCCTTTATAAGTTTATGGATCAATCATGCATTCAACTTAAAAAAGTGCATCTCACTTTTTAGTGTCTGAATAATATTTATGACATGATATCATTATATTAATCCTAGGCTATGTTTGGTTTAACTTCTAGAAACTGCTTCTGCTGCCAAAAAAAACATTTAAACACCTTGGATCCTACTTTTGGCTTTGTCGACAGAATATCATCGGCAGTCCTCCGAGGGGTATCTCATGAAGGTAGATTGATCGACAGAGATGCGTGTAATCGAGAATAAAAAGGCAATAGAGACACACAAGTTAGACAGGTTTGGGATAACATAATATCATACCCTACTCCTATGTTCTGTTGGATTGTATTGGCTATCGTATGATATTGCGTGTGTTTGGAGAGGGCCCCTGCCCGCCTTATATAGCCCGGAGGCAGGGTTACAAGTCGGTTAGATCTAGGAGATAGCCGAAAAGTAATAATAGATTATATGAATTATGGGATCATATGTATCCTAACAGATCTCATAGTATCTTTAGGATATCTTCCCGTGTCTTGTGGGACGCGTCGAGCAGCACCGTGCCCCGCAAGGCTTCATCTTGTGGGTTGGGCCACCCTTGGGGGCGCAACCCATGTGGTCTGTCGTGGGTATTCGGGGTCGTACCCCCCACAGCTAGTCCCGAGCGCCTTGTATCCGTTGTGCAACGCCGTCTTAAGCTTGTCCGAGCAGGTGCAAACAAAGCCGAGCTGTCAAACTCCTGGTCCGACCACCGTGATGAGTTGCCGAGCGGTTGTGAACTATCAGCGAAAGAAGTGTGAACCGTCGCCAGCAAAGCGGTGTGAACCGTCAGAAAGCAAAGCATATCCCAAGTAAGGCTTGCCATAAGGATGTAAGGAGTTCAAGTTCAAAATCAAAAATTTCCTCGCAGTGGACCAAGTGTGCCCACTTAGAGTCCGACCACGAGAAAGGGAGATAGTATTCTTCAACTTCAGGAGGTGCGGAGTCTTTCAGATTAAAGCAAACACACTCACCGCAAGGTGAAGTGTGCCCACTTAGTCCCTGAGCCTGACAGTAGGTGACGTAGTCACGTGGTGCCAGGGTCCAAAGAAGAAGAATAGCAGAAGACCAGCCGAGCAGGCAGCCAATCCCCGGGCGTAGCCCTGAAATGAGAAAAGCACATTCACTACAAGGTGAAGTGTGCCCACTTAGTCCTCGAGCCTGATAGTAGGTGATGTGGTCACGTGGTGTCAGGGTCAGAAATAACAGTCAATAGAAGAAAGTCCCTAAGTGTGGCGAGGAACCAGGTTGTGCTGACGATGCACCTAAAATGGAAACCTTGGAGAAACCAAATTACGGAGAAAAAGCTAGAGTAATGGCTGTACAGTAGTAATTACTGAGCCGTAACAGATGACGAAGAAGTCGGTGAATATTCGGTGAGCAGTAACAAATTACGACGATAAATGGCGATATGGGTTGCAGTTGCTGCGAAAGCCCAGGTAACGGCCCACCACGTTGTTGTGAAGAATTCAGAGAGGCGCAAATCGTGGAGCGGTTTCCCAAAAACCCTCAAATGCGAAAGGTGGGGGGAGTGCTTTATAACTGCGCCACCGCATTCCGCGCTCCCACCTTTGCCACTTCGCCCCTTCGTCTTCCTCATCAGC